TCCTATGGTTGATTTCGTGGCAAGTGCAATGGATCAATATGTCAATGGTTACCGATTCCTAATGTGATTGGGTTCATGTTCATTATTACCAATCCTTTAGTAGACAAGTTAATCCAAACAGTGATCAAGTGATTAAACTAACAAGTTTCCTAGTGTTTAGTTCGTATCAAGTAAGACTTGTAATAATAGCTAATCAAATTTGTTCAATTTAATCAACTCATATGTGGTTGTTCATCACACATGTTCACACATTGATTTACATATTTTCTAGTTAACCCTAGTTTCATATTCATTAATCCTAGGCATACAATCTTGTAGTCACAAAACTATATGAATCAAGTAATCAAGAAGATGTTCATACAACTTAATAACTCACTTATTAACAGAAAATATTCGTCATCAATACATGAGGATCTTTAACAAGCTTAACAAGATAAATAACCAATTTAATATTAATCCAACCACTCAATCAAACCATGTTCATAAGATTATCTCATCCAAACAGAAGTAAAAAGCTTTTAGCTCATATCTACAGCAAGTAATAACCTAAAATCAAAATCTAATGATTCAAACATGGTTCAAACCAAAGATTAAGAAAATATTCATCACTCTTTTTTTTCTATTTTTCTTTCTTTTCTGTTTTTTTTCTTTTTCTTTTTTTTTCTTTTTTTTCACTCAAACTAAAAACCTAGAGAAAAAAAAACATATGCTTACGCAATGGGATTTAACTTAATCCTTTATTGGCTAAAGATATTAGTTTTCCAGGATACATTTCAAGTACACGATGCTAAACATGTTGCATCCCTCAAACTAAGCAAGGTTGTGTTTTTATCCCATGATTTCACTAGAATAAAGGGGGCCACAAATGCATTATAACGTATATAGGCTCAACTAAACATTTGGGTCCTCATAAAATCATCAAACATAATACTGGCATGGAATCCTAATTGCTTTTTATTAAACTTTTCTAAATTAATTCCTAGCAATTTTTATGCAAAATTTTAAAATTAAGCCTAAAATTCTAAGTTCACTAATGTAAACAACCCCCTACCCCACACTTAATTCATGCAATGTCCCCATTGCATGTTATGCATGATAAAGAACATAAAAGTAAAGAGGGAATTAGAATAAACTCCCATGGGATAGTAGTCGCGAGGTTGATCTTCTTCATTGAAAGCTCCATCTTCAATTGACTTTAGACATGGGAACAGCTCATCCATGTCTCGGGCGTCAAATTTCGTGTGGTTGACAACTCTAAAATATCGAGGAAAAAGGTCTTGGAAACTCTCGGAAATTGATCTTTAATAGTATAGCCAATTGCCCTTGTCAAATGTAATCAAATCACTAACTTGAAGGTAAGAGAAAGAGTAACTCGTCGAGTCCAGGTTAAGTCGATAAAAGTGGGAATAGTCGGGTTTTTCCGAATGGACTCGTCGAGTATCTGAATGGAACTCGACGAGTTTTCTTCACTGAGTGAATAAAATTAGCTCCTGCTTCAGGTTCGTTTCTGGTGTTTGAGGAGATTATTATAGCAATATTCCCCCTCATTTTTCTTCAATAAAAGCACATCCCTTCAGCTGTTTAATTACCGGACTCGTAATTAGACTCAATTCTCCCATTCTTCTTGTTTTAGACTTGATCTCACGTTTTATTCCTCACGCTTTATTCGTTCTTTCTATCCCTCACCCTATATTCTGAAAAGATCAAAAACAAATACCAAGTAATAATAATAAAACATCAAAATAAAAATCCTAAATTATCCCTAAATACTAGAAGTTTAGAAAGAAAAAGAAAAGCAAACTCTAATGACGGGTTGCCTCCCACAAGTGCTTCTTTTTGTGCGAGTCTTGAGCTGGACTCCCAACTTAATAAACTTCCAATAAACTCAATGCCAATCCATCCATTGCATTAAATATTTTCTTTGGACCAATTTGTAAAATTTGGCTCTTTGCTTCAAAAATTGGCCAAACGTGCTTGAATGCATAAAACCCAAGAATCTTGACAAGGGTTGGAACCGGTTGGATACTAATCAGAAATGGATCGCACTTCAGAACTTTCTCCAAAGTTGGAATCGTCACCCCATGCTTCGAAACACAAACCGGAAATACAAGGGGCCACGTCGTGGTAACGGTCAAACCACAGCCTGGTTCCTGCAATTCAGCTTGTTCTTGTTCTTCGTCCGACCTCTCTGCTAGCAACCTTTCCAGCTCCTCCAAATCTTTTTTTGGATTAAATTCTTCATCTTGTAACTTTAGCTCTTGTGACTCAGATTGTTCTTGTTCGTTAGACAAGATGTTATCTAACCATCTTCCAAATTTCATCAAATCTTCATCTGAGTCATACTCCTCATCTTCTTGCTCAATTTTCTGTACTACTTCCTCAAGAAAAGCATCAAGAGCATAGAGATTTGGAAAATACATAATAAATAAAAATGAAACTAAAAATTAAACTAAATATAAAAAAAATTAATCAATAAATTAAAAACGATAACAATTAGCAAATAAAATTAACTATTTGAACCGTTCCCCGACAACGGCGCCAAAAACTTGATGTGTGTAAAACGCACTAGTTTTAATCCTATTACTTTAAACACAAATTAAACACACGAAAGGCAGTGTACCTATCGATTAATAGTATAGTTCAAGCAAGTAGGGTATCGAACACTGGGAACGGTAACATCTAAAATTAATACTAATATTATCTAATTAAAACAATTAATAAAATGGGGGGGGGGGGGGTTCTCTAGTTTTGCAAGACTAGAAACTTAAACACTCAATTAACTTTCAAACAAAGACAATTAATAACTAAGAAGAACAAGAAAGGACAACTAGATTCAATGATAAAAGAGACTTATGTTTAGATTTGATTCACTTATTCCTATGGTTGATTTCGTGGCAAGTGCAATGGATCAATATGTCAATGGTTACCGATTCCTAATGTGATTGGGTTCATGTTCATTATTACCAATCCTTTAGTAGACAAGTTAATCCAAACAGTGATCAAGTGATTAAACTAACAAGTTTCCTAGTGTTTAGTTCGTATCAAGTAAGACTTGTAATAATAGCTAATCAAATTTGTTCAATTTAATCAACTCATATGTGGTTGTTCATCACACATGCTCACACATTGATTTACATATTTTCTAGTTAACCCTAGTTTCATATTCATTAATCCTAGGCATACAATCTTGTATTCACAAAACTATATGAATCAAGTAATCAAGAAGATGTTCATACAACTTAATAACTCACTTATTAACAGAAAATATTTATCATCAATACATGAGGATCTTTAACAAGCTTAACAAGATAAATAACCAAAAATCAACCCAACTCGTCGAGTTTTTAAGAATAACTCGACGAGTTTTTTCTACAATCCGCGTATACGGCGTGTACGGCAAGGCATCTTCGAATCTGGAACATTTTGACCAACTCGTCGAGTTGAGGCCCAACTCGTCGAGTTCACTTGGAATCAACATTTTCTCAAAACACGAAAGTCGTCCGAAATTGTGTCTAGTTTTCAAAACATTTTGAATCTCGTCAATCGGAGTTACGGTTCATGAGATATGACCAAAACACTGACGAGGGGTCAAGCTGTCCAGCAATATCCTTCTTTCTTCAGTCTTCAATCTCCAAGCTTCCAATCACTCAATCCTCTTCCATTTTCACCCGAGCATGTCTTTTATTACTGAAATTGAAATATTAAGCTAATTAAGTACCTTTTGTCCATAAAATGATATAAAATCAACAATAATTAATAAGATAATGAATGATTTCTATGACTAAATAAGCCCATATCAAGCAACCATAATCATCTTATACCTTTAAATACCCAAAAATTAGGGTTTTGGAGCATCAGATGCTCCTCACGTCATGATCCCTTAATGCTCACGTCGTGAGCCTTAAATGAACTTTGTCAACAAGTCAACGATCACTCACCCGAACTACTCCAACTTCAAATGGCCATAACTTCTTCGTTTTAACTTCGTTTTTGACGTTATTTATATCCACGTAAAAGGTGGCGAGAAGCTCTACACATCTATCAACTTATCCTCACCTCAAAACCTTTCAAACAAAAATCCAAAATTCATAAAAAGCTCGAACTGCCACTTTACCGATATACCCCCTTGGCTCCACGGCACAACCCAATTCCCGGATCACCTCAATTACATTATCTGTACCTAAATGGGTCTAGATCTCTCTTTCCCAAGGCCCTAAGCCTTAAGATAACCCATCTTCAAGTCACAGTCCTGAATTAGGAAAGCGATTCGGAACAGGGCGTTACATGAGATCTATGATATAAAGGAATAAGTACTAAAGATTAGGGGTGGGGAAAACCGGATACCCGAAAAATCGGATATCCGAAAATTTTTACATAAGATTTTAGTATCCGAATCCGTATCCGGATTTTGGATATCCGAAATCCAGATACGGTTTCGGATACCAAAATCATATATCCGAATTTTTTTGTCTAATCTATTAAACAGTCAAGAAACTCAGTAAAGTAAAGATTAATCAAAAACTAATAAGCCATGCAACTTTAATATTACAAACCACAACAAATACTAGTTTTTAACTAGTTCTTACCATTAATTCAAAAGTTCAAACCGGATCAAAAATTACAAACCACATAACTTAAATATTAAAAGTTCAAAACTATCATATTCTTGACAGAAAGCCAACAAATAACCAAAAAGCAGTTTAATTGCAACATCCAAAAGTAGAAGTCGCCAAAAAACACTTAAATTGCAGCATCCAAAAGTCCATTATTTTATTCCTGATTGACCAGTAGCATCACTTCATCAATCATCATTCAAATACTTGTAGGCTGCATTTCGAAATGATAACTATTAATAACAACTTTATAACAATCATACACACTAGGACCTTTGAAATATAGCACATATGAAACAAAAACTACAACATAAATATACACATAACTATATAAATGTCATAAAAAAGAAGCATACCCATAAGCCTTAATAAGCTTTAATACTTTACTTACTCCTCTGTTATATCACTTTCATCCACACTTTCATCAATGATAATGATTGGTTGCTCCAAAGTTAATTCCTTCAAACCTATTAGACACAAAAATTACGACATTAAAACTATATACAATTAGAATTTAAATAATAATATTCACAGGTTACAACTAACCATTTTCTTCCAACTTCTCTATCTCAAGCAAGATATCGTCCATCACAATCGGCTTACGCGAAGAACGTAACCAATCTTGTGCACAAATGAGGGCTTCCACCATTCTTGGAGTTAAGGAAGTACGGAAAGAATCAAGCACTCGGCCCCCGGTGCTAAATGCTGACTCCGAGGCAACCGTAGAAATCGGGATAGCAAGAATATCTCGGGCCATCTTAGAAAGAATCGGGTATATACATTGTTGAATTTCCACTACAACAATATGTCGAAATTTGGTGTCCATTGGTTCACGTTCTTCCCCCAAATATTTATCTAATTTTGTTTTCTTCGACGTAGTATCCGAACTTCCCATTGCCATTTTAAATTTTTTTGTCATGATAACCTCAATATCCATTACCATATCATCCCCCCACGCTGAATTAGGATCAGAAGGAGAGTATGTAGATGACACCTCAACATCCTTCTCTTTTTGAGGCATAGAATACTGATAAAAATCAAACAAAGCGCACACATTGTAATCTAAGTTGAAAATGAAACGATTGGCACTATATTTCTCGAAGTTTTCTTTAACAACCCATTGGATATATTTCCATTTATGCCTTGGGTCGAGAACTACACCAATAAACATAAATTGATTAAGCTTTGTAACGTCCCCCCAATACTTCTTGTATTTCAATTTCATTTTTTTTGCCATTTCCATGATGGACTTGTCGGGATGCATCGTGAAACCATCAATCACATTACCAATACCGAATATTTCATGTACATAAGCATTTGATGTTACATACTTTGAACCAGAGAACCTTGATGTAGCATCAAAAAATATCTTCAAAAACGGCAACAAACTTTGCACATTCATCTAATCCATGTTGCCAATCAACCCACCATCAATCTTTTCTAGCTCCTTGACACAACTTGAATCTTTCAAAAGCAAGTTTGAGAATGCTTTCCTAAATTTAATTGCGCTCTCAAGCATCAGGTAAGTTGAATTCCACCGTGTTTCAACATCAATGGAAACCAAACTCTTGCTTTCTATTTTTTTCCTCTTGAATGCACTTTTTAAATCTTTGAAGCCTTGCAGGAGAAGACCTCACATATTTCACAAGTGCACGGATTTTCTTTATAGATGAACTAATATCACTTAAATCGTCCCTAACAACTAAATTTAATACATGAGCAGCACATCTCATATGTAGAAAAGATCCTTTCAACACATCGCTTTCCCAATGGTTAAATACCTTTTTCAAATGGTTAATAGCTACATCATTTGAGCTAGCATTATCAACCGTTACAGTCAAGATGTTTTTCAATCCCCATTTAATCAAGCATTGCTCAACAAATCTACCAACTAGTATCCCTGTATGACCAATGATTGGACAAAAATTGATAATTCTTTTATGTAAACGCCAATCGTTATCAATGAAATGTGCGGTCAAACACATATAACATAAATTTTGCCCTGAAGTCCAAGTATTTGTGGTTAGGCAAATTCTGGAAGACAATTTTTTTAAAATATTTGTTAACTTTCTCCTTTCATCAATAAAACAAGTGTAGCAATCATTGGTAGAGGTCGAACGTGAAGGAACATGAAAATGGGGATTAACTACCTTCATAAATTCATGAAAACCCTCACGTTCCACAAAAGAAAATGGCAACTCATCAACAATTATAGTTTTAGTTAAGGCTTTCCTAATTATGTCTTGGTTGAACTCCCACATCTTAGGTATTGTTACAGTTTCAACAGAACCATCATCACTTGCATGTGTTTTGGACTTAAGATCGATAAGCTTTTGTTTCTTATCAATATTTGGTTTGTATTTTTGCAACTCAAGACATGATTTTTCAGAGGGGAAGTATCATATACAGTTGCACAACCGATCCTACGCTGATAATGTATACACTCTGCAAGATCCGGAATGCCTGTATCTTGAAAGTGACCCCACCAAATAAATTTTCTTTTCCTCACATGTATAGAAGGGGATTCACTTGCAGAATGAGCACGAGGTGGTTTTTTAACCTTTTTCGGGTTTGAGGTCTTTTTCTTTTGTTTCTTTTTCCCTTTGTCATTAGTCGTCACCTCGTTTTTAGATACAAATTCGCATTCTGAGCTAACTACATCAACAATTTCCATTGCGAAAAACCTGAAATAATACATGTTATTGAAGTTGAAAACATAAATACTAAATATGGTCTAAAATGGCAACTTTTGAAAAATGAAAAATTGTTATGACTTTTTGGAATCTGTTGTTTAATAGTTGAAAGTAATACATGTGAAATTTTTAATATGTTGTGATAGCCTGGTAGGTTATTACTTATTAGAAAGTATATATAAATAATATATTGTGGGAATTGAAAGTGGAGAATCACAAATTTAAGTGTAATATTATCTAGAATCACAAATTGAAAGTGGTAATTGAAAGTAATACATGTGATAAACAGATACGCATTCCATCCCACTCAAGTATAATATTATATAGAGTTTCTTTCCAATACACATTCTATATTTCCCGACAAGGCACAAATCCAAGAACCTATGTGAAATCACAACATTTGATGATGTAACAGAGACCAATAGACAATAACATACTTACTAATTAGTGATTAGTAATTACCTTTAGGGTTTACCGGTCGGCACTCGGAGTCAACAGTAGTTAGGAATGATGACGTGAAATCTTGAGCGAGTGAATGGTGACCTTAACGGTGGCTGTTAGACTTGGGTGGACTTCGATGAATGTCGTCAGCCGATGCTCGAGCCTCGAATTGATTGAGCAACTTTAGAGTTAAGAAGTGCAAGAACTTGATATTAGAAGAGTGGAGACCAGAGAGTGCAGACTAAACCCTAAAACGTCGATAACTTTCTTTCATAACCCCATCGACTATCGTACCCCTTTTTAATTTTTGAGTTTTATTATTACTTTTTATGATAATATTTATTATTATTTACCATATTTAAAACAATTAAAATATCAAATTTGTTTATATACTTCGGATTTTGGATTATCCGAAAACTCGAAAATCCTCAATATCAATATCCAAATCCATATCCGGAAAACCGGATATCCGAAAACTCGGGTATCCGGTTTTTCGGATACTTTCGGATCGGGTTTTCGGTTTTCGGATCGGTTTTTCCAGATACATATATTTTTTAGCACCCCTACTAAAGATGATGTTTCCCACCTTATAAAGTCAAGATGGTTAAAATGGAATTGGTTACAGAAGTTTTGTTTGATAAGAAGGTCCCATAAAAACTAAATGGAAAATTTTATAAGGTGATAAGAAGGTCCCATAAAAACTAAATGGAGAATTCTATAAGGTGGCTATTAGATTGTTTTGTTATATGGATATTAATGTTCTGCATCTTCTTGAAAAATGGGACACATATTCGTGGGATATCTCATTGTTGCACATATTCCACAAACCATCAGTTGTAGAGTTTGTACCATGGCTAAATTCTGAACAACGAATGTTAAGTCTTTAAGTTGGGACTCGAGGCTTGATGTCACCGCTTCATTGACTTTTTGATGTGCATCCCTCTTCATGTCTTGGTGGGGGCCAAATTGTTAAGAATTAGCAGTTATCACTACAAATAAAATGACATTTAGTGGTACATAAAAATGTCACTAAAAACCGAAAAAGTGCTACTAAAGACCCCCTGGCAATCAACGACACAAAAAAAAGTGTCACTAAAAGCGTTGCCACTAAAGACCTTTAGTGGCACTTTTTGGTTGTGTCGCTGCAGCCTAATTGGGCTTTAGTGACACTTTTCGATTTTGCCACTAAAGAACTTGTAGGTTTTAGTGACACTATTTTTATGTCACTATTTAACTGCAAAAATAATTATTATTTTTATGCTTTTAATGACACTTTTTTAACACAAAAAATTTAATAAATTAGATCATATTTTTTAATTTTAAATGGAATATAAAATAATAATAGAACAATTAAGATAGTAAACAAAAACAAAATATGATTACATCAATTCAAACTTGTCTATAAACAATATTTTCAATACATTTAAAACACAACCATCTTCAAAAAAGACTAATATGTCTAAATGTTGTGCAAATACTCAAAACATAATACTATTGAACTAAATACTCGTTAGGAAGAAACACGAAACTTGCACTATTATCTTTTAAAATCGGCATCCTTTAACCTATTTTTGAATTGCTATTCATCTTCCATGTTGCAGATTTTACGATATGACCCCTACCCTTCTTTTGAGTTCCTTTAAAAAAATAGATACAAAAAAAACAACAAAAAGAATCAATCAATACACATGTAAAAGTTAAAAGGACCATTTTGTAATAGATTGCAGATTGCTTCCACTTTGACCATTTCTGTAACGAATTGATACCACAGGGACCGTTTCTGTAACAGATTGATAGAACATGTACCATTTCTGTAAATATTGATACCATATGGACCATTTCTATGACAGATTGCTACCATAGGGACCATTTTTGTAACAGATTACTACCACATGGACCATTTCTGATAACTTTTGAATATGGAAATTATGTCAAAGTTTTAAGATAAAAGACAATAAAATATTTAAAAGAATCGACTTTTCTGAAGTACACTGCTATAAATGAGCATAAATACAAGCATATTCCAGAAAATATGTTCAAAACGTCAAAAAAACTTATTTTTATAAAGTATATTGCTATAACTGACCATAAATTCAAACATTATCCAGAAACCATCTTTAAATCTCATAAAATCTTATTTTTATAAAGTACATTTATATAAATGAGTATAATTTCAAATATTTTCCAGAAACCATCTGTAAATATCATAAAATCTAATATTTATAAAGTATATTGTTATAAATGACCATAAATTCAAGCATTTTCCAGAAACCATCTTTAAATCTCATAAAATTTAATTGTTATAAAGTATATTGCTATAAATGACCAAAAATTCAAACATTATCCATAAACCATCTTTAAATCTCATAAAATATGTTGATGTTCTTTTTTAGCAACCTACTTTTATGTAATTAAGTTATTAAGTTTTATACCTAAAAAGTTAGATAAAAAGACGTTACCTCTAGTGACGTCTATGCCGAAATCTATAGGGTCAAATATGAAATTATCATTTTGTTCGTGGGTGCAATTCTTAGCAATACCTGTAATTCCACAATAATTCAAAACATTTTTCCCTTTTACTGATAACTAATAATAATAATAACAAAAAAAGTAACTAACTTGGTCAATAACATCATACATTAAGCTTCCTCCAGCAATGTCTTGGCACCCCTTTAATGGTGTGCATTAAGAATCCATCAACGAAATCCTATAAATGAATTTGACCAAGGGTTCCCGCACAAATCACTTCACTGCTTTGATGTGATGTTAAAGAAATAAATTGTCTAGAAGAAGGGCTAGTGAATGTCTTAAAATTACAGTAACGGAACAACAAATCCCATGCACAAACAATTCCATCAAGGGATGCACTCAGTAAACAGTGGTTACTAAACATGAAATGACGAGCAATAACTATATTTGTATGCTTAGATAAAGTCCCAAAACAGAAGCCTGGTGAGACAATCCAAACATATAACAAGGAAACAAATATCTATTGACATACATGTTCTTATAATGTATAAAAGAATATATCTAGAAACTATCTTACCTTGATTTTATTATCATCTACACCAGTATCCAAGAGTTGTGACTCAAGAGAATATGCAAGAGTGTAAACATCTTTTTGTCTTACATTCTTTTACATGCAATAGTACTTCAACTTGGTTGTAAAGTAGCAGATGAATGATTGGGGAATGCGGTTGTAAATGGATCGGGATACAGAGCTAATACTACATACATACATACATATATACATACATACATACATACA